AGTATAATACAGACTATTTGTAGGTGCACTTCTTTCAGAGCATGCATGAATTGACTTATAACACTTACTACATAGATAATGTTTGGTTTCGTGTGGGATACATTTTCTTGTTTACTACTATCTTCTTCTAGTATTCCTAATTTGTGATTATAATTAGTAAAAATGCTAGCTGGTTTGCATGCTAACTTGCTAGAGTCCCTCAACAGATCAATTGAGAAGTAAAAATCTCTTATTTTAAGCGGGCAACTTCAATTTTTTGAAAATACTTTAACTTACCAAGTTCATTGATCTCAAATTCTTTTGCCTACTGTTCGGTATAAATTTTTCTTTCTCATCATCTCTTGTTATTATAATGTCATTTATGTGTAATAGGAGAGCTATAACCCCCTATATTTTTGAGTATTTGATGAGTTAAGTGTAGCCTATTTGAGTCTGCTTAAATTTTAGATCTATGATTATTTTTGTGAACCTGCCAAATTATGCTCTTGACGATTATTCGAGTCCATACAGAACTTTTTTTAGTTACTACCTTATTTGGTGATTGTGGAATATCCATTTACTTTTTTTCTTTTAGATTTTCATGCAAGAAGGCATTTTTTCAATCATATTCTTATAGTTAACAATGAAATTAAGAGCTAATGAGAATAAGACTCGCGCAATGTTCATTTTGGCTATTGGTGTGAATTTCTCTTGGTAATCTATCTCATATGTCTGTGTATAGCCTTTTGCTACTAATTTCGTTTTATATATTTCAATTGTCTCATTTGTCTGGTATTTAATTGTAAAGACCGATTTATCTTATTGGTTTTTAACCTTTGGATAGATCCACTATTTCCCATGTCTGGTTTTTTTTTTCAAGCGCCTCTATTTCTATATTTGTAATATTTTTTTATTTTTCACAAGATAATGTCTCAGATACTCGATTAGGAACAGATAATGTTTAAATTTATGAGAAATTTTTTATCCAGTTGTGAGCATTTATCAGATGATACAATTTGTGAGATAGGGTAAAGATGTTTAATGCATTCTACTGTACCTTTACGAAGTAGAATAGTCGAGATTGATGTAAGCTCCAGGATTAAAATCAGATTCGTAGACTGACTTGGGCTTAGTCATTGACATCTTCCTCCTTTTATACACCTGAGAAAATTTAGGGTTTGATATGATCTTTTAAGTAGGTGAATGTTCTTGTGGGTTCTGAAAGTTCTCTTGTAATGATGTTGTTGGGATGTGTGGCAAAAGTGATAGGATAAAATTTGTCAAGAACACTATATCCTTATCTTATCTTTCAATGTAAACTCTTCCTAAAAATAAAGTTGAATGAAGTGAGATTCTTGTTGAACATATATAATATTTGCAGACACAAAAAATTTTTTAGTGGAAAGATGGTAAGATTTGTACCTCTTTTAAGAGGATGAGTACCCTATAAATACACATTTCAAAACCTAAGTATCAAGTTTCCTTCTTTGATGGAAATGAATATGAATGAAGGCAATGCATCTAAATATTCGAGAAATCAGATGGTTTATAACACTTATTGTTAAGTAAAATTTTTGAAGTGTTTTTAAGAGACTTTTGAAATCAAGAATACTAGTGGACAAGGAGTTAATAATGTAGATGACAGTAAGGATGACTTCGCCCTAATATTGTTCTAGGACATTGTTTAGCACATGAAAGCTCTTATGGTGGCTAAAACATAACTACTCGTACATTCTGCTACTCTGTTTTGTTGTGGATTGTGGATCCGTAATGATTTATGAATTCATTTCTGATGGAAGAATAATGTGAGTTGGTCTCCAGATATTATTGTTGATTAATGAAAATGAAGCTAAACTTCTTTTATTAGTAATGAAAAATATTACATGCTTATGTTCTGCAAGCTTACAGATTCGCAGTGTAAATTTCATATTATGAATTTTTAAACAATAAGGAAAACATGACCTTCAAGGTGGAAAATGATGGGTGCCAAGTCTTTTATGATGAAGATAAATCTTATATATGAATCGATGATAATAATAGAGAAGACTCTCCTAGGTGCATCCAAGAAGTAAAATTATTGTTTCAGCACGTCTAATCATCTTCCTTGTATCCTAGTCTTGAAAGTTACAGTGAGAAGAGTTAAATATTACTTTTCAGTTCAAGCCTTATGATTACTTATTAATTGACACATGATTAGTACACAATTTGGGAATTTGTAACACAATTTTTAGGATAACGTTAGGACTATCTTGATTTTTCCTTTGCAATAGTATTTAAGGAACCATCTGTATTGACGATCTTCTTATTGTTTGGATAAGAAATATATGTATGAAAATATTTAAAAATATTGATTATATGAGTTGTGATTCGTGAATCTATAATTAAAAAATTCTCAAATGGTTTATTTGTGACAACAAACCGTGTGAAAATGAAAGCATATTTTAGTATTTTGTTACGTTTATACCTGTGGGCTTTCCAAGGTGTGCTACAAATGACTTCACAGTTGTTCGATCTCAACCTTGAAAGCAGTGAGATTGACAAGTGTTTCTTTTTCTCGTTGTTTGGCTATATAAATATGTTTGGGAATATTTGTTCATGGAAGTAGTAACTGAGAATTGTATTTCCATTAGAACCATTTTTAACCAAACTCCCTCACATATTCCATGAGCAAGTGATCGAAATTCAGCTTTTGTACTATTTCGTGACACAACAGATTGTTTCTTGCTCCACTAAGTGATTAAGTTTCCCCAAACATAAGTACAGTACCCAGATATAGATCTTCTGTCAGTTACAGAACCCACTCAATCTGCATCTTTGTAGATTTCAATATTCCTGTTTATTGTTTTCTGAAAAAATAGTTCTTGTCCTGGAGTCTTCCTAAGGTATCTTAGGATCCGATATACTATATTCATATGATCATCAGT